CTTCGTTCGGTGCACCGAGATAAATTGTATCCTTCCAAAAACATCCTATTTTATATCCAAACAGTTTAAACTAAGGCAACCTAAAAGAAACCTGTGCACTATCTCAGGCAAGGTACCTTTGAGCTGTCAGCAACCCAATAGGAGTATAGACGCTAGAAAAGGATATTATGGGGAATTCAGATATTGGATAAAGCACAAAGTTTCTCATACAAGTTTTAAGAATTGGATGCTCACACAAATTATAGTATACCTTCTTTCCCAGATTGAGGGGGAGTCGTTTTCAGTGAGAAAATAAGTGGTTAAAAATATTAGGCCCTGGCCGGTTTGGCTCAGCGGTTAGAGCGTCAGCCTGCGGTCCCGAGAGACCCGGGTTTGGTTCCCGCTAAGGGCATGTACCTTAGTTGCGGTTTGTCCCCGGCCCTGGTTGGTAGTGCGGGTGGCAACTACTCGATGTGTCCCTTTCACATCGATGTTTCTCTCTCTCCCTCCCACTCTATCTTAACAAAATATCCAAAAATGTCCTCGGGTGAGGATAAAAAATATATATATTAGGACACAAGAACATTTTTATCAACTGTGTCAAAGTAAGTAGAGTCCTGGACTACCTGGAAGGCATTAAATTACAGAGTGTTTGGTGGGACAGAGTGATACAGGAGGAGGGATAGAAACAGCCTGCCTACCTCTGTTCTAGACTTCCACATGGAAAGGTTCATGAGAAATCACCAGGTAGGGAAAATTTATAAATGGCTTCTGGGCAGAAAATGGTCATGAATAGAGACTATGCATTTCGCAAAATATCCTCTGTGAGCAGTATCTCAAGAACCTCAATATAGCAGACAATGTTGACTGACTTGACAAAATCTGTTCTTTTAAAATTCTGCTAACGAAACCTGGATATTTTGTGTGTGTGTGTGTGTGTGTGAGAGAGAGAGAGAGAGAGAGGGAGAGAGAGAGAGAGAGAGAGGCATTACATCCAGTCCCAAGAAATAAATCCTGAGTGGTCAAAACAAATTATGGCAGTCTCAGTCTCTTTCTGGTGGTTGATTTGAGAATAGAAGTGCAACTTCACTTTGGCCAGTGAGATGTAAGTTTATGTTGACCAGGGGCTTACGAGAAAGAAAAAGAATGCTTCTCCATAATAAGAAAGAGTGTATGAGAAGGAAGCCTTTTTTCCTCCTCTTCCCTTCTTTACTGCATTGGAAATTGTCAGATGATGCCCAGGTTGCTGTGGTTATTTTGTGTTAATGAGGGAAAGGCCAAGAAAATCATGAAGATGAACACCTCTGAGCTTCTGCTGTACCCTGAAAAAGCCAGTTGCACAAATTCTTGAGTGATAAATAAATGTCTGTGTTATTGAAGTTGCTTATGGTTGGGTATTCTGTTATAGTCCCAAGTATTATAATCAATACAGTAGGTGCAGGGAAGCAGAGACAAAGCTAGTGGAGGAAAAGTGAGACCCAAATGGCAGAAAATATTGGGATGGAAAGTAGCCCAGTATAAAAGTTCAAGATCGGAGTCAACAGTGGTTTATATGAACGAATCAAGGGAGCTAGGAACTATTTGGCCTTCAGTTCCTGTGCTCAGCATTGTGCTGGATGGGGGTGGTAGCAATGGGCTATGCTTGAAGGCACAGTTGAGTTTCTGTTCCTTTCAAAGGCATGATTATTTGAATCAAGCCCACAGCTGTATGGTGCACTCCTAGATCTGTTTAAATGTACAAAAGAGTGTAGGGTCATCTGTGGTATATTCTGATGGGACTAGACAAATCACCACCCGACTGAATACTTCCTGGGTCTGTAATGCAGAATGTTCATACTTAATGCTTTGCCAAGCACTTTCTGTCATGTTATACACTATAGAGTGTTAGATAAGAGTGTCATTATATATCATTTAACCCAACTGGGAAAGCGCATAAAGCATTTAGCATGGAGATGCCAGGGATTGAGTTCAAGGTTTTAACTGAAAGCAAAACTCTTGGAAGTACCATAATGAAAACCAGGAACAAAGCATTAACAAAGCTGAAATAAAAAAAAAATCTGGACGGGAAGGGAGGTTTGGGGAAATTGCTTTGATATGTGATGGTGTTCAATACCTTCCCAGGCTAGAAGGGGTATTGAGACTTTGTTCCTCTTAAATAATGATGGTTAGCATAGATACATAGCTAAGAAGAGGTATAGCAGGAATCAAACTCTTTTGGTTCACCAACTTCTAGACCATCTTCTTGATGGTCATTGTTCAGTTAAAGCTGCAGCAAAGGATACTAATGGTCATCAAAAGTGAGTTCCAAAGTCAGAATTAGCTCTGGAAAGACCCCAAGGCTTCACATATCAAACTTGCTGATATGCTCAAAATTCCACCTACCTGGTTTCTCTTAAATTATCTTACAGCTAAAACGCCATGGGTTTCTATCCATGCACAAGGCATTTAGCCCTCCTGGCAAGAAAATACTGAAAATGATCACTCTAAATAGTCAAACGGACTTTTGGGGGGCAGACTGAATTTATTTCCTATTAAGTCACTCCATATTCTGCTTTTAAACAATTTTTTTTTTTTTTTTTTGATTTGCTGTTAGTAAAATGACAGCAAGAATAACTTCAACACCCAGCAGGTGTGGTTCAGTGTTTGAGCATTGACCCATGTACCAAGAGGTTTCCGGTTCGATTCCTGGTCAGGGCACGTGCCCAGGTTGTGGGCCAAATCCCCAATGGGGGGCATGCAGGAGGCGGACAGTTGATGTTCTCTCTCATTGATGTTTCTATCTCTCTCTCCTTCTTCCCTGCTCTCTCTCTAAAAAAAATCAATAAAAACATATTAAAAAAAGAAAGAACAACTTCAACAGAGGGTATGCAGTTTCTGTGTGATATCACAACTTCCCCTTTTTGTCTACTGACTCTCCTATGGATTGACACGTTCCTAGAGAATATCATTTTTAATTTAATAAAAAGTAGTTGAACTAACAGTAGTTTGAAATTTTTTCTTTTCATCTATTTAGAAAAAATATGTCAATTTACTTTAAAATAGGTAAAAAATATATATACAACACATATATATACCACATATACACATATATATACCACATATACACATATACCATATATACTATATACTATATATATACATACATATATATATATATCAATGCCCTCTTCTCATTCCTTTCCAACACAGTGAATCCTACCCTCTCCACCTACGTGCAAAGCTTTAAAGACAATGACTGATGAAGACCTGGTTTTGCTCTGATGGACAGAAGAAAGAAGCATGGTGTCCTTCCTGAGCTATGGAGATAACCTGGGACAGCTGTAGTTGCATTTTTTTTACTTAGTGGGGTCATACACCATGCATTTATCTTCACTCATTTGATTTTCTCAGGATTGGAGAATACGGTCTCTTACACAGCCCAGAGCCTTGGAAAAACCATTAACACTTATGTTTATAAGACACACTCATACATAGGGCAAAGGTAGGATTGGACTTTTCAGACACACACACACACACACACACACACACACACACACACCCAGTGATGTTGTGCAGTAGACTCTGGAAACTTTTTTTTTAATCTATTGATATGACCATGGAATGTTTGTCCTTTATTCTATTGATGTGATGTATTATGTCAATTGATTTGCATATGTTGACCCATCCTTGCATCCCAGAAATAAATCTCACTTGGCCGTGGTGTATGACCCTTTCAATGGTCTGTTGAAATTGGTACGCTAATTTTTTTTTCTTAATCCTCACCCGAGGACATTTTTCCATTTTTTGTTCAGATAGAGTGGGAGGGAGAGAGAGAGAGAGAAAAATCGACATGAAAGGGACACAACGAGGGGTTGCCACCCGGGACAAACTGCAACCGAGGTACGTGCCCTTAGCAGGAAGGGAAACCGGGTCTCTCTGGACCGCAGGCCGACACTCTAACCGTTGAGCCAAACCGGCCAGGGTTCGGTGGGCTACAATTTTGTTGAGGATTTTTACATCTATCATTCTCAGGGACATTAACATGTAGTTTTCTTTCCTTGTGGTGTCTTCACCTGATTTCAAAACGGTCATTTTTTTCTTCATCACACGAATCTGGTGGGTTTCAGAAGTAAAACCCACGCCAGAATGGCAATCTCCCTAAGACTGCAGCCTCCAGCAAGTTCTCGCTCTTAAGCCCAACCCACACTCAGCGTGAGGCAACTTGTCACAATTACCACTGAATGTTCCTAAGAGCTTATGCTCCATGGATCCTGCTTCAGGTAGGCAGAAATGAGGGGGGCTCCATGCACTCCAGAGCCTCGGCAGGTGTCAGGGTTATAATATCAAGAGCTGTTAATTTTCAACTGTCCAGACTTTTTTTCTTGTTTTAAGGAAGAGTAACAACTCCCAGTGCTCTACACTTCAGCACTGTTACCAGAGTCCAGGTAATTAATATTTTACTGCATTTTACAACAGTTATGGCCCAAGGTAGATTGCAAATTAAAGGGGGAAAAGATCCATCTGCAGGCAAGTCATTTCAGAAGCGCTGTTGCAAGAGCACCAGAGGCTAACAGTAGCCTGGCCAACGCTACTGGGGCTGCCCCATTGGAACGAAGGTGTGGTGGGGCGTGTGGGGACCAACGTTCTATCCGCACACAACATAAATTCCGTGAGAGCAGGGCCTGGGTACCCATCACAAATGCACTGATGGGACATACTTGTATACATTGTCCCAGGGGCCAGAATGAAACCGAACGAAGGCGACACCTAGATTTTTCTCCCACACCCACTTATTCCTCAGAGTCTTGTTATGAAACACAAAAATATACAAGTATTAAGAAAATATTTATTGTTACTCTCTGAGACCTCAGGCCATTGGACACACCAAAACGGCCTGTGACGAGGGTGGGGAGGAGGGGAGTTAAGAAAAAAAGTGGTCAGGTTTGAGGGTGTAGGGGGAAAGTATTCCTTTCCAGGGTGGATCTTCACTTGGTCCCACGATGAGCTGCATCCCAAATCCAGGCCACTGACTCCCACCTGACCTAATTCTTGAACTTGCAGATATAAGGTAACTTCTGGTCGCAGGAATAATCTTTCCACTTCTGATATCCTGGAGAGAGAGACCAGATAAAGTAAATGGACCTGGGGGAGCTCATGTCCTAAAGGAGAGGCATCCCAGACTCTGCCCTAGGACTCAAAGCTCCACCCTCATCTTCACCAGGGACCCCCTCCAGGGGAAGGAGACTCAAAGAAAGGAGAGATGAGAAGAAAGACCAACATTGCATTTCCTAGCTCAGGACAATTTCTTGAAGGTTCGGCCCAGAAATGGGGGGGGGGGGGTGAGGGGATGGAAAGGCTGGCCAGAACGTAGCCCCTCTCTTTCTTACCTGAGTGTTGTGACAAGCTGGCGCAGTAGCCAGGGTTTGGGGTGGAGGGGGGGGTTTTCTCCCAGGCAACGTAATTCAGCACATCATTGTTACTCCACTCCCATCCTCCTCCATTGGGCTCATAGCCCTAGAGAGTACAGAATGGAGTCAGGTAAAGTTGAATGGCTATTGGGTTTTTGCATAATACTCTCTGGTGCATACTTGATCCCCTCTTCAGCATCATGGAATTTGGTCTGCTACTCCAGATGTTGCCACAGAGCTCTCTGTTGGGAAACCCTCCCCAACTCCAATGGAACAACTCAGAGTAGCATGTTACTGGCTGGACAACAATTGGTGGTACATTTATCAGTGCCCTCTGAACCTCAAAGGCAATGTCTGTGCTATGAAGAAAAAATGTATCCTATCTTCACTTAGGATCCCTTGCCACAGGATGCATAGACCCACCGAAGCTCAGAGAACTGAATTACAAGGTGTCATGTCTGAATTGTATAAGACATGACAAGAGGCAGATTAACTCCAGCTGGAGACTACTGACCTTCACAGAACTCAGCTCTTCACCTAGCCTCAAGGTCGTCCCTTTCCCCCATATAGCCCTCCAGATCTCTGAGCTCTGGGTTCTCTAGGATACTTCCTGGGCAGGCACAGGAGCCAGGGCATGGGCCTTAACCACTTCAGAGAGGAGAGATTATCGCACCTGTGTGGGATCATGAAACCCAATCCAGATGTATTGATAGGTATTCAAATTGTTCTTGACCACAGAGGCCAAGAAGGACGCCTCAGCCCCACTGAGCACAGACGCGAGGGATCCTGTGGGTCGCTTCTGGCAGGCAATCTGTGAGGGGAAGGAAGACACTGAGGAGGAGCTTGAGACACAGCAGGTAGAGCAGGGCTGGGCGGTAGGAAGGGGTATGTGTATGAAAGACAAGGATGCTCATTCTCATCCTCAAAAAAGTACGAAGAATGGAGACCACCCCTTCTCCATCTTGTCTCTAATGTACTTTCCCTCAACACCTCTATCCAAAAATGCATCTACTCACATCAGCTTCATTCCAGGATTTTGGTGTCCTAAACAAGGCATAGCAGAGGGAGCGAAAGGCATAGGACCCTGGGGGACAGCTGCCCCTTGTGAAGTTAACTTCATCCTTGGAATCCTCACCTGGGATGGAAGGGAATAAAGGAGAGATGGAGTGAAACAAAGTGTGGGAATAGTGTTGGAAAGAGACTTTGGGGAATATCTGTGAGCCAGTGCTTGGGGGAAGTAACACCAAACTCTTGTCTACCTCTCACTATCGCCAGCACTTTCAGGATTTGTTGGCCTTGAACCAGCCCCATCAAATGAAGGACCATCTCTTTGTTCTACTCTTCCCCTTTATTCAAAAGTCCAACACATTCCCGCTCTGAGCTGACTGCTCTCACACTGAGTCCTCCAATCGTTCTTCCCCTTATCTCACTACTGACCCTTCACACTTTCTCCTGCCAGTATAAACTAAAGTCCACTGACAAAATGCAAATTATCTTATTCCATCCTTAATGGACCACAGTGGTGCCTCCCACCGCGACTTAACCCAAAGGAAGGAGTGATGATGAAGAAATTCCAGGCAGTTTCATTTGGGAAGATAAAGGTCTCCATTGCCACCTGTGTCCCCCAGGAGGCTCCCTCCTCTTCTTGACCCTGAGCATTCACAGGGAACCCAGTGCTTGAAGCAGAGAAACCTCACCTTGAACCTGAGTTAGGAGCATGAGGCAGGAGAGCAGCATCCAGGACATGCTGGGCAGGGTCATGGTGGGCAGCATTGCGTCTGTGACTTGAAGAAGCAATCAGAAATCATTAAAGCAGTGTGGTCAGAGAGAGGGCACGCAGGAAGCCCTCTGTCCTCCCCCCTGTCTTTTCCTTTGGCTAGTCTTCCACAAATAATTGATCTTGGTCACATCCGTCCCCTTCTATGATTCTGGAGACAATGGGAGAATCTGTACACCCTACTACCCCTGAGACAGATGCTCTTTGAAGACGAGCATCCTCCAATAGCTTCTCGCAAGAGTGCGAGGTTGGCCCCTGCCATGGCTCTCACCTTCTCTCAGCTCCCACTTACCTGTCGGTGGGTGTCTGAGATGACTGCTCAAGTCAGAAAAGACCAGGCTTTTATAAGAGGATCTGAGGGTGGGGCTCTGAAATGAATAACAGGGATGCGGCGCCAGGACAGGGATATCGGAAAAGGGCTTGGCATTTGTTCAAGGAAGTTTATGCCCTGGGCAGTGGACTTTTCCTGGCAATGGCTGGGAATTGTCAGTGTTGATTCTTTCCCATTAGCAGGCCAGCACTTTCCTTAGGAACAGGTGAAGGTTGGACTTTATTATCCTATGCCCGGATTTCTTATTCTGAAAATCTTCCGGGAATGAAGGTAGCCTTTGGCACAAATTCTGATGTTACATGGTTTAGAATATATGGCATTGGGTAGATAGGGAAAATGTCAATAGCGTATTTTTGAGCCATCTGCTAAGAACTCGCTCCTCTAGTTCTATGTATAAATATGTGTTATTTTTTCTGTACCTGTATTTTTCTTTAAACCTTGTATTTGAAGAGTAAATAAAAACAAATCCCTAAGTAAACGTCGGGTGAGTACAGAAATTGGATTTATCGGTGAGAACCAAGTGTTAGTTGAGGGAAAACAAACCATTACAACCAAGGGAAGGAACAATGGTTCAGAGCTGCAGGTGCAGTGATGTTGTGCGTCAACGGGAAAGCCAGGGTCGGAAGGAGCAGCTGATGCACAGACTTGCCTTCCTCCAGCTACCTCTGTGTGGGAAGACTGACAGGTCTCCAGTTCAATGCATTTCTGAGATGGCAGTTTGATACCGCAAAGTGGCATTCTCAGATTGTGGTCTGCCAACCCATGGGGGCCTTCAAGACCCTTCTAGGGAGACTGTGAAGTTGTAACTTTCACAATTATACTAAAGTGTGTCTTTTTTTATTATGTTGACATTTGCACTGATGGGACAAAACAAAGGTGAGTAAAAGTTCTTATGCATCGGCATAAGCAGCATCAATCTATTTCTCTGTATCCATACACTTGCAAGAAACAACAACAAAAAGACATTTTTACTGAAAAATGTCCTTGATGAACTTGATGAACCAAAAAAAAAATCATTCATTTTAATAAACCTCAAACCTTGGATACATTTCTTTTGCTATTCTCTATGACTAAATGGGAAGTCTGCATAATAAAATGCAATGGTTGTCTTAAGGAGAAGTATCTATAAGGGTTTTCATAGAACATAATTTCTACTTGACAAGGAGACTGAGAAAAAAGCTTGGTATTCTCATATGAGCATTTTATTTTTTTTTGGACAGTTTTTTGAAAGTGGTCAAAATGAGTTTAGTAAATAAGTTTATTTTGTTGTTTTTGTTTTTGCACTTATCTTTAGACAGAGCGGGAGGGAGGAAGGGAGAGAGAAACATCAATGTGAGAGAGACACATTGGCTGGCCGCCACCCACACAACCCCAACGGGGGCAGGGGACAAAGCGCAACCGAGGCACATGCCCTCAGTGGGAACCAAACTTGCGTCTCTCTTGTCCTCAGGCTGATGCTCCAACCACTGAGCCAAACCAGCCAGGGCAAATAAGTAATTTTTAAAACACTGTTTAAATATCAAGTATTAGACATACCAGTAATTCGTATAATTAATAATACTTTGAAGTCTTCAATAATTTTTAAGAATGTGAAAGTGTCATGAGATCAAAACACTTTGAGAACCTTTTATTAACTTTAGGCTACCAATTTCCAGGACACGTAAGGGATGGAGATACTTTATGTTACAACACAGAAATACAATCAACAAAGTCTAGAAGGTGGGAACTATAGGACAAAACTCCATTTCCTCAGCAAATGAATTAAAAATGAATTAATCCCCCTATTGCTAGCTGGAATGCTAGAATATCATGAATGTGGGTCAAGAGACCCTCTGGAAATAGTCACTGCTTCCATATTAAAATCTCAGGTAATCTTTGGAAAGGCCATGTTCTTGGTCTTATTGCACCAGAAGGATCCTTTGTGAGCAAGCTTGGAGAAAAGTTCAGTCATGAAACCAGTCTGGAAACAGAGCCATTACAGAGAATTTTCACTCTGTTATTTACATAGTTGGTTACTACTTGTCTATTAGAAACAACGTATTTCCAAAATGGAAGCACATAGACCAGGAGCTCCCTGTATATTCACACAAAATGATTATACTTAAAGAATCAGCACATCATATTTTCAATTCAAAATCTTTATTCAAAGAGTAATAATTTTCTTAATTCTGTGAGCTCGGCCCCTGCGATGCTTGTGTAGAAAGAGCATTTTGCTTAAAGGACTTATTATGGCTACTGGCCTATGCATGAAAATTATCAGGGAAGAATTCAATTACTAAAAGAACACATTACTTCAGAAAATCTTTAAAAAACTGATTAAAGCTTAATAAGTGCTGTTGCTAAGTATTCCTTGCTCTACAGGTTAATGAGCCTACTAGGGAGACTGACTATGTGCATTAATACACTGAAATTTGAGCTAAATCAAAGAGCAGAATAGGGTCCACAGGTTGATGCAGAAATGGGTTCTATGAAAGAGAATGTTCTAAAGGTCAATTTTTGGAGACCAGTTTACTAAAACAGTAAAAGAAAAAAGTAAGATTAAGAGCAGGAAGACAACATCAGATAATCTGAAATTCTTCCGATATCTGATCTTGTGAGTTAGCTGGAGTTAAGAACTCAGAGCAAAAGAAAGTTTTGCTCCTCGGTCTCACATTTCATGGTTCGAAGTGGGAAGGTGAGAGAGGAAAGAAATGTTATAGAAAATACTATTCAAAGCACAGTTCATAACATCCAAGACTTTCTTTTTTTCATCCTTCCTTTTCTCTTCTCGTTTCATCGATCAGCCTTTGTTGCTTAGGGGAACATGGAGACATGAATGAGATTCTATTTTAATTGAAGGGATGGCCAGGAGTTAGGTCAGAATCAAAATGCAAACACCCGAGGATTAGATAGAAATGCAATACTACGTAAGGAAGATAAATTAACCAGATACCCCAAACTGTGTTCTAGGCAGGATAAAAAAATAAAATAAAAAAAAAAGGCATATCTCAGAGTTGAGATTTATCCAAGATAACTGAGGAAAGTCAAGGAACAGAACACTGAAGACTGATCCAAAAGGAGTATACTCTCAGGAATACTGAGAATGCTGGCCCAGCTCTGAGCGGGTACTTGCAATTAGGTGACTCAATCAGTCTAGGGACCCTGGGTGTGCGGAGCAGAGAAAATGTGGCATTGGGATTCCCAGTAGAATTCCTGAGCTGGAAATTATCAGAAAGAGTATAAATGCTTTAAAGTGATGGTGCTCACTTTCTTATTCAAGATGTTCCTGGGGCCTCCATTCATCCATGCTTATTTGCCCCCGTGCCTTCTTAGACGGTGGGTTAGTGGAAAGGATTATCAGTGAGGCATAAAGATTAAGGATTGGTCTCTTATATCACACAGACTCATCTCAGGAGGTTGGGGTGACAATAAAATAAAATGATGAATAAATATTCTTATGCATCATGTCGGACACATATAATCACACAATAAATCACAGCGAATAATAATATTATCTCAGTGCCTGGTGGAGTCATGATAGATGTTCAATAATTTTCAGTTGAATGCCCTAGATACATAAATATGGTCTGCAGATGTTAGTTATGGAAAAGTGACTCCTCTGCATTATTTGTGTACCTTACCTATCAATTGATTTGACCTTTAACAGTGCTCCCTTGAGGACACCAAGCCAGCAACCATGTCCAGTCTTACCCTTAAATGCAATGAAACGGTATTCGTGTTTAAAAGCTGTTGAGATGTTACTAATTTAGGAGTGCACTTTACCCATACATCCAGTTATCAGGGAAATTGCCAAATTAATCTGTGCAGGAGCTCATCTGATTATAGATACCATTCACTCCGCATTAATTTTGTGCCTGGCACCATGCTAAGAGCTCTCGATAAATTACTGTATTTAATATCCAGACCATCGTAGTGAGACAGCTATGCTTACCTTATTTTTTACACAAAGAAATGAAACTATGGAGAGGTTGAATGACTTGGTCATGGTTCCTCAAAAGTAGAAGAATGAGGATTAAAATCCAAACACCAAAGTTATGGTTTTAATCACTGTTACTCACTTCTTCTGGAGGAAAGATATTTTTTTCCTATTAGAAAACAACAACAACAACAACAAAAACAGTATTGGCCTTTGTTGCAAAACCATTAATGTCTGCACCGTGCAAGAGAAAATATTTTTTCTAAGATATTTAATTTACCACTGGGATGGCTCTGACATTTAGAAAACCTAAGCCCAGAAAATCAGATTTCTGATATACATACACGAAAAAGACTGAAAACACTAGGGAAATTCTGTGACCAATGGCCATGTATGGGTATTTGTTAAGCTACATTAACCTAATGGACACTGAGGAAAAAAAAAATGTGTTCAGCAGAGTTAACCGATTCTCTTTATTTACACAGGTATAATACTATCAATTCCTTGTTTCTAAAAAAGCACTGATATTGTGAGTTCCAACCTCTCTTTGATTTAGACAACTGTTCAATTGCCAACACTCTCCATTATTTTCAGCATTCAGCAGCAATGAGTTAAATTCTGAAAAGATCCAATTAATTGCTCTCTGACATGATGGGTTTTTGAAAGGTTTTACCTGAGTTAATGAATTCATTAATTTTAGAACATCTTATTTGCTTTCTGCTAATGGGATTTTCAGCAGGTGATTGGTT